TGAACTCATGAAGATGAGTCTTCTTGACTCCAGGCCCAATGCTCTATCCACTGTGCCACCTAGCTGCCTTTCTCAGAATAATACTTTTTAAGTGCATTAGAAAAACTAGTTAGGATTACCAAAAGAACCAATAATATTGAAATAGTTGTCAAACTATTTTTTTTAAGTTCACAGACTCTACATTATAAATCAGTGATGAACATGAATCACTGATTAAATACAACCCTATCTTTAATCTTCAAATGAGCAAATTGTGGCCTAGAGAAACAAAAGTGACTTGCCTAATATGATACAGGTAATTCAGGACTCAAAACTTATACCCCTCGACAACACATCTGATGGTCTTTCCACTACCACATCCCCAAAGTACCTTCTATTTCTCTATCAATAACTTGAGTGGCCGTAGTGCAAAAAGAGCAGAACTCTGAGTCAGGAAATAGTAGGCTTAAGTCTTGCCTTGGACACATAATGAATGCATGACCCTTACTTGCAAATCACTTAATCTCTGGGGACCCCAAGCAACTCTCTTAAGACTAAAAGTTTCAGAGTGGTTGTTGGGATGCCCTGGTGGAGGAGGTTTCTTCACTTTCAGCTCACAGGCACGAAACAATACAATAACTCATTATCTTTCCCCAAAACTGTCCCCTCATTCTACCTTCCCAGTTACAGAGGGCAGCTCTATCCTCCCAGTTCCTCAGACTTATAACGTGGATTACTGACTGTCTCTTATCCCCCATATCCAATGTGTTGCAAAGGCCTATCAATATCACCTTTGTGACATCTCTCAAATAGGTCCCCTTCTCTTCTCTGACACTACCACCACTCTATTGTAGGCTTGTGTCCTCATAACTTGATTATTGTCATAGCCTGATGGTAGGTGTGCATACTTCAACCATTTTCCATTCAGCAGCTAAAGTGATTCTCCTAAAGAGTATGTCTGATCATATTAATGAGGTCTAGAGGCTTAGGGGTGCTAGACCCCAAAATCATGACACGTAGGTCCTGCCTGAATGAATTCAACCCTAAGCCTTCTTTCAGCCAAAGACAAGGTTTATTAAAGATCTGCCATATTAACCAGATTCTTAAGGAATCTGAGCACCTGTCAGCTATTGGCTAGATTGTAAAAATCTAAGCAGTGGCTAGAATTTAAGAATCTGAGCACTTTAATGGAGACAAGATGGCCCTTATATACAGAAAGACTGTGGGAGGGATCTAGGAGTGGCCAAGTAGTTTGGGGTGACTGGAGGGGTCTCGGGAAGATCTGGATGGGAGTGGTCAGTAAACTGGGGTGAATAAGAAGACCTGGACCTGGACCTGGACCGTGGCCAAGGGAGAATGGAGTCTAGATAAGATTAAGGATTAAGGGTGGGAAGTGGGGGGGTGGGCATTGACAGGGGGCCATCTAGAGGTAATAGACAATGGAGGGCTAGGTAACAGATTTGGGAGGTTGGGCATGGGTAATAATGAAAGGACAGTTGATAGGATTATAGCCTCAGGTGGACGCCAGAGATTTGGCCATGTGGGCAAGTCCAGGGTTTTTCCTTTTCAGGGTCCAGATCCCATCCTCATCAATATTACCTGCTATTCAATAAACTCCAGTGGCTTCCTATTGCTTATAGGATCAAATACAAAATTCTCTATTTGGCCTTCAATGCCCTTTATGACCTTGCCCCTTTCTACCTTTTCAGTCTTCTGACACATCAACATTTTGATCCAGTGACACCGGCCTCCTGGCTGTTCCATGAACCAGACACTCCATTTCACTGTACCAGGCATTTTCTCTGGTTATCTTCCATGCTGTCCTCTACTCTACCTTTGACCTCCTTGGTTTCCTTTAAGTTCGACCTAAAAGTCCAGCTTCTCTAGGCAACCTATCCTAATTCTGCTTATTACTAGTGCCCTCCCTCTGTTAATTATTTCCCATTTCTGCTGTATATAGCTTGCTTTGTATATATTTATTTACATATTGTGTCCCCCATTAGCTCGTTAGCTCCTTGAGAGCAGAGACTGTCTTTTCCCTCTTTTTGTATCCCCAGTGCATAGAAGGTGCTTGATAAATGTTTATTGATTGATGAATTAATAATGGCTAGCTCTTATATAGCACCTGCTATATGCTGGGCACTGTACTACGCACTTTACAAATATTACGTCAACACAGAACAAAGCTTCTGATTATTCAGAGTACTGATTATTCAGAAACCTTTATTTTTCTCTTCTACCTCATATTCCTGTTACCGAACAGTAGTGTCCCAGCCTGTTCACTAGGGAAGCTCTGAAAGCTTGCACTAGTATTAGTAAGGCCTGTACTAATAAGCCCCTGTACTAAGGGGCAGTTGAGTGGGTGGTGCTTTGTACTTTGGAGTCAGGAATACCCAAGTTCATGTTTTTCTATGCCTCAGTTTCCTCATTTGTAAAATAAGGATAATAATCCCTACAGCATGTTCCTGACAGGGTTGTCATGAGGCCCAAATCAGAAAGCATTTTATAAACTTTAAAATACTACATAAATTCAGTTATCTTTATCTTTTGATAAGGAGCCATTTTAAAATGACATTAATGGGTACCCCTAATCTATTTAGTATTCCTTTGTCTCACATTTATGAGCTGTGTGACCTTGGACAAGTCACAACCTGTCTCAGCCTTCATGTCCTCATCTGTTAAGTGGGGATAATAATAGCACTTACCTCCCAGGGCTGTTGTGAGGATCAAATGAAATATGATTTGTAAAGTGCTTAGCACATGCTTGGTATATAGTAGGTATTTAATAAGTGCTTGTTTCCTTCCTTCCTTTCTTCTTTTCATGTTATTTTAAATTACTTTCCAGAATGATTAGATCAGTTCACAGCTCCACCAACAGTGCATCAGTGTGCACACCTTTCCACAGTATCTCCAGCATTGACTAGTCCCATCTTTGCCAATTTGCAAAGCAAAGGATGAAATGTCAAGGTTGTTTTGATTTGCATTTCACTTCTTTTCAGGCATCCGGAGCATTCTTTCATATGGTTGTTAGTACTTTGCAACTTCACCCATTGAACATTTATCAATTGGGCATGAGTTTTTGTCTTACATATTTCTTATAGTTGCCTACATATCGTGGAGATCAGACCTTTATTAGAGATCATTTCCCACTTGACAGCTTCTCTACTTATTCTCATTGCATTAATTTTGTTCATACAAAAGTTTTTCAACTTCACATAATCGAAATTTTCTACTTTATCTTTTGTAATTGCCTTTATCCCTTGTTTGTTAAAAATTCATCCCCTACCCATAAATATGGAAAGTACTTGATCTGGCTGCCTTCACATTGTTTTATGATATGACATAATTTTTTTCATTTAGTTCTTTATTTTTTTTCCAATTTTTTAACATTTTTATTTAAAGCCTTGAGTTCCAAATTCCATCCTTCCCTCCCTCCCTCCCTTCCTCCATCCCTGAGACAGTAAGCAATCAGATCTAGGTTATATATGTGCAATTATGTAAAACATTTCCATGTTAGTCATTTTGTACAAGAAGACTCGAATAAAAGAAAAAAATGAAAGAAAGAAAGTGAAAAATAGCATGCTTCAGTCTGTTTTCAGTCAATATTAGTTCTTTCTCTGGAGGCAATAGTAGGCTTCATATGATATGACATTTTTAAGATTCAGGTCACATCCATTTTGAGTTTGTTGTAGTATATGGTATAAGATGTTGCTCTAAAACTAATTTATGCCAAGTTGCTTGCCATCTTTTCTAGCAATTCTTGCCAAATAAGAAGTTTTTTTTTCTCTAAGTAACTTATTTTTTAAGTTTATCAAACACTGAACTGTTGAGTTCAGTTAGTTCTGATTCTTCCTCATCTAGTCAATTCCATTAAACTGCTTTTCTATTTTTTAACCAGTACTAAATATTTTTTAATAATTACAGTTTTATAATGTAGTTTGAAGTCTGGAAGTGCTTATTTCCTCATTTCGTTCCTACTTTAAAAAAATATTTCCCTTGGTTTTATGGATCTTTCATTCCTCCAAATGAATGTTGTTATTATTTTGTCTATATCTGTAAAATATCCCCTTGATGGTTTAGTTGATATAACTCTAAATCCATAAACTAATTTTGGCATATTGTCATTTTTATTATAATAGGATGGCCTATGTATGAGTACTGAATATCCCTTCAGTTAGTTAAGTTGTTCATTTAATTCTTTAAGGAGCATTTTGTAATTATACCTCTACAGGTATTGATTGTATTTAAATTGACTCCCAGATACTTTATGCATTTTGTAATTATTTTTAATCAGACTTCCCTTTTTATTATTCCCTACTGAATTTTGTTATTGCTATATAGAAATGCTGTTGATTTTTGTAGATTTGTTTTGTAACCTGCTACTTTACTGGAGCTATTCGTGATGGAAGTGCTTAGAACTAGAAGATCATGTACTAAGTAGCCCTAATGATTTATTTAACAGATGAAGAAACTGAGGCCCAGAGAGGCTTATTTGCCCAAGGTCACTCAGCTAATAAGTAGTGGCACCAGGATACTAACCCAGTATACAGCTAGAATTGCTGGAATTATTTAGAAGATGGATTAGACTTGTTCCTCTTGGCCCCAGGAAGCACAATTAGGATCAGTAATTTGAAGTTAGAGAGTCAGATTTTGACTAAACATGAGAGAGAGAAAAAAAAAATCTTCCTAATAATTAGAACTATCTAAATGTGGAATAGATAGCTTTTTATGTGGTAGTGAATTTCCCACTGTCAGGGCTATTACAGAAGGGACATACTTTGATTAAGGATTCAGTTAGGTGCCCTCTGTGGTGTCTTCCAACTCTGATATTCTGTAAATCTGTAATTCAATGAATGCTATTCTCATCTTTTCTTTCCTCCAGTGTGTGGGGGGAGATGACTAAACCCACCAATCTCATGTTTGCCAGGCCATCCCCAAATTTCCTTGCACTAATGTATTTGTATGTGTGTGCTTTCCTTCCTTTCCCCTTCTCTCCCTCCTCCCCTGCCCCATCCCTATAGCTATTCAACTGAGGAGGAAGATGTCTTCAGTATACCAAGAAGGAGGAGCTCCATTAGCCTGAATGGGAACACAGATGGGGATCCTGGGGCCGGTGGGCCGGGTCTTCGGGCTCTCAGGAGGATTATCTCCATTGAAGAAGATCCCTTGCCTCAGCTTCTGGATAGGCACTCTGAGGGTCAGCTGAGTAGATGTCCGGAAGAGGAGGAGAGCACTGGGCAGCATCCAGAGGACAAGAACCAACAAGCACCCCCCTTGGAACCTATATCTCCTCGAGGACAGCCAGTAGGAAAAGAAACAGGGATCCATGTAAGGGGTTGTTTCATGTTGGCTTATTTTTGTACATTGCCATCTTCTGCTTATGTTCCATGGTAGCCAACCCATCTCAGAGGATGCAAAGGGCAACACAAGAACTCCACTGAATGTAGCCATGTGTTCACCATCTTTATGTGCCTCATAAAACATGGACCCTTTGGGTTCCCCATAGAGCTTCCTTATATCACATTCAAGTGATTATTCATAACAGTCTCAAAAAGGCAGTCTAGTACAGTGGCTAAGGACTGATCACAGAGTCAGGAAGACCAAGGCTTAAATTCTGCCTCTGAAATATACTGATTGTATGACCCTAGGTAAGTTATTTAACCTCTAAATGGCCCAAGCAACTTTGGGTTTTCCATAGAGCTTCCTTATATCTTCCTAAAGTTCTGAGGAACTTTTTTTTGGTCCCTTGATGGGAACTCATATCCCTATTTAGAACTTTAGGCCCCTGACACCTTCACTCACCATTCTAAAGTGCTTTGAACATTTTTCCAGAGATCAAAAGATTTAGAGCTAAACAGGACTGTAGTCCAGCCTCCTTCATTTTATAGAAACACAAACAGGGCCTCAGAGAGGAGGCCTGACAAGCCCAAGACCATATAGATAGGCAGAGCCAGGATTTGAACCCAGGACTTCTGAGGTTCAGCTAAATGCTCTGTGTGCATTTTGAGTGTTGTTACCATTTACAACAGAGCTATTGCTATGCTGAAATTTCTCTGTGTGCTTATTTGCATAAGATCTGGGTCATTTTCCCCTGGATCTCCATATATAGGTATCTCTCCTCATGTCATAACATGTTGTAGTCACAGAGTAAGGCATGTATCATGTATACCTGGGGCAGGAGCTGTCTGAGAGACTTGGAACTAGTCATTTCTCTTCTCAACCTCATTCCTCTTATGTGTAAAATGAAAGAGTTGGGCTAAATGATCTCCAAGTTCTCTTGTGCTGTAAACCCTATAATCTCAAACCCCTAAGGACAGAAGAGAATTTGACTTGGTAGCAAATAGCCTGGAAGAATGATAAAGTGAATTATCGAGCTTTTTGTCTGAAAGATGATGACAATGAGGGATGGAGTGATGTTTGTGGGATGAAAGTTAGTCCTTGTGAATTTAGATGAATTAAGAAAAAAAGAAAAGATGGGAGGACTGAGGAGCAGGGGCCCTGTTGAGGGAAATGTTTTGCCTTTTATTTAAATTCCTATAATTGACCTTGAATTCTTTCCTAAGTATTGGTTTCTCCCCAAAATACTATGATGATTTTTTTCTATAACTCATTACTGTCACATTACAGTTTTTTTTTTTAATGAGAGGAATTAATTCCACCAAATCCATTTTTAGGTAGATACAAAAGAGGCTTCTCATTTATTCAGGAAGTATTATGCTTGAACTCAGAGGCAGAATTTCTGGGTGAGTAAGCAGCTTCCTGGAGAGTATGTGTAGACAACTAGAAAAAGCCCTGAGCTAACATACCTTTTTTCTCCTGATCTGGTTCTGCCAATAATTCCCTGTGTGACACTTTAGTCACTTTGTTTTACTATTCTGGGCCTCAGTTTCCCCATATGAAAAACAGAGGGTAAAAGCTCTGTTCTACCCCCTTGTCCTTACTGAATCCAAGACTAGGTGGGATTAATTTGGATTAGAGCGATTTACCTAACCTTTCCTACCTTGGCAGTTTACAAGGAAGACGGGGAAGTCCCTAAGCCAAGAGTTCTTGACCTTTTTTTTTTTTCAGTTATGGGCCCCTTTGGCAATCTGGTGAAGACTATGGATCCCTTGGCAGAAGAATGTTTTTAAATAGCTAAAATAAAATATATAATATTACAAAAAATGACATTGATATTGAAATACAATTATCAAAATTTTTTTCAGAAATAAGTTCATGGACTCCAGATTAAGAAGCTCTCCTCTAAACTAAAAGAGGGTATAATGGAAGGGAGAAGATCTTTAGCAATCATAGTAATTGTTCGTATCTATAGTGCTTTAAGATTTATAGAACATTTTCTTTATGACAACGCTGTGAAGTAGGTAGTATAAGGGTTCTACACCCAATTTCATAGGTGAGGAAACTCAGGCTGATAAAAGTGACCTATGTAAGTAGTAGTAATAATAATAACTAACCTTTATATAGTGCTTACTATGTGCCAGGCACTGGCCTAAGTGCTTTATAATTATCTCATTTGATCCTTACAACAACCCTGGTGCTATTTTTATCCCCATTTTACAGATGAGCAAACTGAAGTAAAGAGAAATTAAATGACTTGCCCAGGGCCATACGACTAGTAAATGTCTGAGGCTGGATTTGAACCTGACCCTGTACCATTATTATATATTACCTGCTCTCTCATAAGTGCTGTATATAAGTGCTTCACTGATGAGATAGGAATAGGGCTCCCTTGATCTCCGCCTGTGCTTTCTTAGTCTCTAAGTAATATAGTTAAAGGCAGCTTTCCTTCCCTACCACCCAGCATCCTACAATGGAAAAATTAGCTGTGATGGCTGGTGCAGGATGGAAGAGTTTCTCTCTCTCCCTCTCTGCCACACTAGAGAGTGTTTTAATGTTCTGAAGCCAAAGATAACTCTGTCCTGGAGGTCAGAGCTTGTCCCATTTTATGTACTGTGATGCTGTGAGTACTCAAACCAGTAATCCCAGGATGTGGAACTAGAAGGGACTGTTTGTCATTTAGTCAAACCCCCTCAACTTAGAGATAACGAAACCGAGACCTGGGGGAGGCTATACGGTCAGAACTTGTCAAATCTGGCCTCAGACACTTACTAGCTAAGTGACCCAGGTAACAAGTAGCAGAGTCAGGATTCACAGCTAGGTCCCCTGACTCCAAATTCAGCCTTTGTTCCCCTACACTGATCTGCACAGGGAATGTGGGGAGGCTTGACTGGATGATGGGTGGACCAGAGGGCTTTCTAAGCCGTGGTGCAGACCTATATACCTTTTCGTAGGAGAAGAGCTCTTCCAGCTCCCCGGATCAACTTTTCAAGATTGTATTTGTGGGCAATTCTAGCGTGGGGAAGACATCATTTCTGAGGAGGTTTTGTGATGACCGATTTTCCCCAGGCACAGCAGCTACTGTTGGTGAGTTGCGTTCTGCTACTTGAAATTTCCTTCTTCTTTTAGAGGATGCGTCTTCTCTCCCAGCTCAAATTTCCTTGATGAAACCTCCTTATTTATGTATTTATCACATTCCTCCTGCTCTTAGTAGAATGTAAAGTCCTTGAAGGCAAGAACTGTTTAACTTTTGTCATTCCCTCCAGTGCCTAGAGTAGGACTGAAGGAGCATGGGACCCTAGGACACCTTTCAGCTGGATCTGGAGGGAGAAAGCCAGAAGGACAGAAGTGGGGAGTGGTTGAATTGGAGGTGCTGATGGCCTTGTCTTTTCAGCTTAGTAGCTTGGTAGGTAGTACATAGTGGGTACAGGATGGGTAAGATGAGTTCCCCCATTAAATGACCCAGCGTGGAATAATAGAATCAAAAAATTTTAGACCTGGAAGGACCTTCTGTATCACATATTCAAATATTCTTATTTTGTAGATGAGGAAACTAACACCAAGACAAATTAAATGATGAAACTAATTGCCTAGAGCCTAGAGTCCAGGTCATCTGAATCTCACTCCAGGTCCCTTTTCATTGTACCATCTTGCTTTATGTTAAACATACAGCAGATGGCCTTGACCTACTTATCTCTTAGAGATAGCAGGGCCAGTTCTAGACAAAATTGAAACTGGCCAAGGTTCTTCATCTGAGCCCCTCTCTGGACATCAGAAGTTCCCAAGGTCCTCTGCTTTTACTCTCCTCCATGACCATGGGCAAGTCACTTCTTCATTTGAAAAATAAAGGGGGAGGGGCAGGTAGGTGGTACAGTAGATAGAGCCCTGGAGTCAGGAGGACCTGAGTTCAAATCCGGCCTCAGACACTTAACACTTACTAGCTGTGTGACCTTGGGCAAGTCACTTAACCCCATTGCCTACCCCCCTCCCCCCAAAAAAAGAAACTGCTTTAAAAAAAAAAAAAGAAAGTGATTGGGTTTGATGACTAAGGTCCTGTCTATCTCTAAATCTACAACCCTGAGGAGGCATTTGCAGTGCCTGATTTGGTGTAGTGGGAGGATCTGGAGTCAGTGTATCTGGGTTCAAATCCCAGCTCTGTCTCTCACAACCTGTGTGATCTTGCTTGCCCTGACCAGAGATGGGGATTCCAATATCTCTTCTACACTCTTTCATATACCACTTCCAGTGTTTCCTCATTGACCTTGCCTTCTTTCACTCATGTTAATCCCTCTGAAGTTTAGGCTTCCTTCTTCTTGTTCTATCCTCATGGAGCTTGGAAAACAGCCAATCATCATTCTCTACTTAAGAATCCTCCTTGACCCATTCCTTTCCCCATTCGTCTTCAGGAACTGGCTCTCTCAGTTGGTTCACTCCATGCCCACTACTGTCTTGGGCACTATCCTGAGAGTTGTCTGAAAGTGTGGTTCAGAAAGAGCTCTTGAACTGGAGTCAGAAGACTTTGGTTCAAAGGTAGACTCTGTCATTTATTATACCTTTGTGACCTTCAGTACATAATTTATCCTGGCTGGTCCTCTCTCTCCTCATCTATAAAATGATGGCATTAAACTTGGTAGATTTGATTCAGCCCCTATTATTTTTCAGCAATGAATCACCCAGGCAGAGAATCACTCAGGGCAAACCAGGCTTGAAGTAGCTATTTTCTGTCTTTTAAATAATGACAGTTCCCGTTTATGTAGAATTTTAAGGTTTATAAAGTACTTTCCTTATAACAACCCTGTATGAGATAGGTGGGACAAATATCATTATCACCCTTTGCAAGATGAAGAAACTAAGGCTCAGAGTGATTTGCCTATCGTCAGTGACCTATCAGTCAGAGTGTGAGCTCTTGTTCATAAGATCTTGCTCACACCCAGGTCTCAACTCTGGACTTAGGACTTTTTCCGTGTCCACTTTTCTTCACAACAAAATGCTGAAGGCTTCCCTTTATTTAAATTGTACCATGAGGTCTACCTTGGCAAGGCTTTCCTGAATGAAGCCCACCATTCTCTTCCAGTCTACCAGCCAAACATCTACTCAACTTCGCCTCCATGATTTCTACCATTGTGGTAGTTGAATAGCATCAAAATTCTACCACCAGATTTTTTAGGCAAACCTTCTCTGGTCCTATATTAATCACTCTGCCTTTCTTCATTAGATAGTGAGTTCCTTGGAGAGTTCTCAACACTCTGCTCCAGCTACCCTTTAGGCACTAAGTCCAGGCTTGTGTGATTGATTGATGGATGGATTGACTGGCCAATTGACAGTATAACAAGAAGAAATCCATTGGATTTTCACCAGAGAGTCTTCTGGAGCACCTGCAGCGCAGAATGTATTTCTTTTGCTTTGTTTAGCCCGTACATATCTCTCTGGGCCTGAGACAGAGCTGATTTTCCTTGACTGGTGAGGTGAACCAAATGTGAATACAGAGGAGTGATCTCATCAGCTAGCTCCATGACAGGCCTTCTCCTGCTTAGGACCCCTCTCTCTTCCAACACACACACACACACACACACACACACACACACACACACTCACTCACTCACTCACTCACTCACTCAAAAGCAGGAGCCACCTATGCTCTAAGGGGCTTAGAACTTGTGGTCCAGTTTCCTAGATAAAGAAGTCTCAGAACAAAACAACTATCGAGTAGTATGCAATGAACAAGTCCCCGTGTGCCACTGATCTTGAGTAAGTCACAGCTCCTCTCTAGGCCTTAGTTTCTTCACTCCTAAAATGAGGGAGCTGGGCTAGATTATCTTCCACCTCAACCATTCTTGGATTCTCTCTGCTTCTCTCCCCTTTATTCAGCACTAGTTCTTGGTTACAGCCCTGCACACAGGCTGCCTTTACTCCAGACAGAGAAGAGAGGGCCCATCCTTTCCTCCTCCAAGAGATACAACTTTCTCAGATCCCTAGACTTTGTCAAATAAAAAATTAAACTAAGTATGAATTCATTTCCCAGTCCATTTCAAACTACTTTGATAATAAACAGTTAGCCCTGAGATTTCCCAATTACAAAAGAAAAATAAAGGCCAGAGCTCAATGAATTCTTCTAGTATCCAGCCACAGCATGCTAAAGTAACATTTGTCTAGACTAGAGTCTCATATACAACATGTTCTCTAGCCCTCACAACAGCTCTGTGAGTTATAATTACAGTACTACTATTACTATCTCCATCTTACAGATGAAAAACAGACTCAGAAGTTAAAAGTGATTTGCCTAAGATCACAAGAGCTGGGAAGAGTTGGGTCTAGGCCTCAGGTCTCCCAAGTCCAAATCTAGTATGTCTTCTATTATAACACCATGTTAGTTTTCCATAGCGAAGGACAGAACACTGGACAAGAGTTTGGAGACCCTACACAAATCACAACTTCCCTCATCCTCAGTTTCCTCATTTTAAAAGGGGGTTGGTTGATATCTAACTTGTCTCCTTCGAAGGGAAGTTTTGGTGACCATATGGAATGATGAATGTGAAAACCCTTTGAAAGTATAATTGTAAATGATTGGACTCTTCCTTCCCAGTCTAAACATCAGATTCCTTTGTCTTTCCCCCCACCTCACTGCCCGACTGCACTTCACCCTTGGCCTAGAAGCAATATTTGATGACATTTTTTGCCATCTGCATTATTCTTGGTCCGTTTACTGTCTGTCTGCTTTCTTTCCATCTGTATTGCCAGAGCTGCCCTATTCTATCCTAAGTCATCGGGCTAAGAAGCTTAACAGCTATTTAATTCTGTGGGAGTGGCAAGATGCAGGAGATGGATCTTGCCAACTCCTAGATCTGGTTCCTTTAAAACGAAGTTTCAATCTTTCAACATTTCCATATGACCCTGAGGAGTCACATGAGAAAGACTTAGGGAAGAGGAATTTATTGCTTAAACAACACTTATTTATTCATTGTTTGGAAACATTTATTAAACATCTGCTGTAATAATGGTTTGTATTCATGTAGTGAAGCTAGGTGACACAATAGACAGAGCCCTGGACCTGGACTCAGGAAAAGGAATTCAAATACAGTCCCAAATATTTACTAGCTATGTGGCCCCATCCAGGTCATTTAACCTATCTGTCTCAGTTTCCTCACTTGTAAAATGGAGAAAATAATAGCACCTATCTCTTAGGATTATTATGAGGATAAAATAGGATAATATTTATAAAGTACTTTGCAAATCTGAAAGTGCTATAGAAATGCTATTTTTATTATAAATATTATTATTTATAAGTTTGCAAAGCACCTTACATATATTTCTCATCTTGTTGGATCCATACAACAACCCTATAAAATAGGTGGCACAAGTATTATAGCCTCCACTTTAAAGACAAGGAAACTGATACTCAGAGCATTTAAATAACTGCCCCAGGACCACACAATAAGTGGCAAAGTCAACTGGAACCCAAAGTCCAGGGCACTTTCCCCAGGGTAACAATGAACTCTGTGAGACACTGTGAAGTTAACCAAGGTGGATAGAACATTGTTTCTGCTCTAAAGATGTTTGCATGCTAAGGTTTCCCTGATTAACACAGTTAACTACCCCTTAACATACCATATTCCAAGTCTGGTCTGTCATTCAGTGCTAACTTTCGTAACCTTATTCTCATGGAAGGAGTTCACTCCTATAATGTCATTTAATATCTCTTCATGTTTTTCTGGAACCAATTATCATTGGTTAATATAATTAGGAGGGCTAAGCCACTAGGAGAAAATTCCTTTTCTCTGAAAGGTTCTGGTGTTGACCCTTACTAAAACATATCCCAAGACATATGCTCTCTAGGCAGTCCCTATAATGATGATGCCCACCATGCCATGGATGGCAAGGGGTGGGAAGAGCATTGTGGGTGGGTAACCAATCTATCTCTAGGCAAAAATATGAAATTTGACTTTGATTCCTTCTAATTCCCTCATCCTCCCCCATGTATTAGTTAGTAGAGTTTATGGTATGGCCTCTTCCAGGGATGCTTGCATTTCCAGAGAAGACTCCTAAAAATCTTTCAAGAAGGAAGTTAGTCTTCTCTAAGTTTCCCCCTTCCATGAGGGAGGGAGTAAATACAGATTGGGCACGCTACTTCAGAAAACAACCCCAGCTGCTTCATCTCTCTGAGCCTTGGCTTCCTCATCTGTAAGATGGGAGTAGTAGGTGATTTCTAAAGTTCATTTTAGCTCTAAATTTCTGTGATTCTACAATTTAAGATACAAACTATGCCCTATGAACAGGCCCAGGCCAACACTAACAGGCCTTGTTTTCACTTTGCAGGGCTAGATTACCAAGTAAAGACATTGGAAGTGGACAAATCCCAGGTGGCCTTGCAGCTGTGGGACACAGCTGGGCAGGAGAGGTGAGGAAATGCTCTTTGCTTCCACACTGTCATCCTACTTTTTTGGTCTCAACTTAACCCTCTTCCATGTTCTGCTTTACCTCCTACTCCATGTTGAGTGGTCCTCCCAGAATCTAACTGAAGATCTATGTTCTTCTAATTCTTTGGGGGTTTGGGGGTGGAGTGTTACATTTCTGACAGAGCTGGGGGGGGACCCATTATCGGCAGGTATCGCTGCATCACCCAGCAGTTCTTCCGCAAGGCAGATGGTGTCATCGTGATGTACGACATCACAGACAAGCAGACGTTCATGTCCATCCGCCAGTGGCTGACAAGTGTTGAGGTAAGCTGATACCCTTACTTGAGCTCCTAGCAAGTCAGCAAATGTTAGTCACAGTTCATGGCTGTTTTTTGTTCTTTTGTCTCCCTCTCTGCCTCTTACCTTACCTCAACCCCTACCTTCCTACCTTCAAACATCCTAGAATGGTCTTCCTTTCTGGCAATTAATATTATTATTATTATCTAAATAAAATAAATATAAAATAAATAAAGTTATAAAAAAAGAGGGTTCCACTTTTTGCAATCTGGCTCAAAACTGGCCTATTTCCACAAACCTTTCCTGGTTATCTCTCACCATCTCTATCCTCTTCTTTCCTCTGCATCCCCTCATCCCCTAATGTAATTAATTTATACTCTACATTAGTACATTAGTATACTCTATACATTAGTATAGGTATATGTATGATATGCTGAAAATAACAATAACTTTAGAGTTAAAAGACCTGGATTTGAGTCTTGGTCCCTTTAACAAGCTGTATGATCTTGGCCAAACTATTTTATTTCTCTGGGCCCTGGCTTCCTCATCCATAAAATATTTTTAATATCTATACTACCTATTTCTTGAGGTTATTGGGAGGATTAAGTAAGAAAATGCAGGCGATAGAATTTTGAGCCCATAAAGCACTATATTACTATCACTGATTACCACCCTTTTTATGATGGCATCATGTAACAGATCACAGCATAGGCTTCCCAGGACTTCCAGGTGATTAAAGTCTTTGGATAAGGTCCATGAGAGACCAGTGTCATACTGAATTCCTTGGTAGCTGTAATGAGATTTGATTATGAGACTTGAACTATAATAGGAACTTGATTTTATTTGTTTATGTCAGTTCATATATTCATTTGTTGGACAGCTAGGACGTACAGTAGACAGAGCACTGGGCCTAAAGTCAGGAAGTACTGAGTTCAAATCTGGCCTCAGACACTTACCAGTGGTGTAACCTTGGGCAAGTCACTTAACCCTGTTTGCCTCAGTTTCCTCATCTGTAGTATGATCTAGAGAAGAAAATGTCAAACCACTACAGTACCTTTGCCGAGAAGACCCCAAATGGGGTCATGGAGAGCCAGGTACAACTGAAACGATTGAACAACAACAAAATATTCATTTGTAACAGTTATTGTACACGTAGTGTGTACCTGGCACTATACTAGGCTCTGAGGAATATAAAAATTCTGTATAGTGCCTACTGATCCAAGGATTAAGATTGAGTATGTGCCTATATAACTTTGGGCAAGTTGCTTCACATTTAGGACCTCAGTTCTCCACCAAGCTATAACAATCTTTGGTTCTTAGATCTCTTTTCCTTCATATATTCTCTGTCATTTCAACTTTTTTAAAAAACTTTTCAAGACCAAGGACAGTGTGGACAAATCAAAAGATGGGAACAATAGCATAACAGAAGTAATTCTGTTAAGATGGGGGTTGGACCAGATGGCACAAGATCCCTCTTGCTTTAAGAGATATAATTCTTTTCACTGCTTAAGAGGTAATGTGTGTAATAAAAGGACAACAAACAGAGGAAAGGTTTTTTAAAAGATCTATGAAGATGTTCATAACAAATTTTTTTTTTACCATCAAGGTCAATGGGGCCATCCCACTTGTACTCTAATGATTTAGTCCCACATATGTCTATAGAAGACATAGAAATGGAATTAAAGAGGTCAATGAGGGGAAATCAGCTGGATTAGGTCAATTGTACATAGAGGAGTTGAATGTTGGAGATGACAAGCTTTTGAGGGCTTTGAGAGACTGGCTCACAGAGTTCAGGGCACTTTCTACTAGGCTACACTAAACCATACTGGACATTGTAAAAGATACAAAATTAGGTAGAACACCATTTCTGTTCTGAAGGGCATATGAAAGAAGAGACGTCAAATCCATGGGAAAAAAATCTTGGATTGTATCAATATTGAAAAAGAAGACTAAAAGAACATTAGCAACTACCAATCTATATGCCTATTTTCCCAACTCCGTATACTTTTTGTGATAATCTTATAAACATGTATCAAGAGCTTCCTTAGTAAAAGTATTAGTAGGAAACAGTCTAGCTTTTGTAAGTGATATTCTACAATGGACAATATCTTTACCACCAAACAAGTGACTGAAAGATGTAGCGAATACAAGATCTCACTCTTATTTTTGTTGATTATTTTAAAAAATTAGTTAGATTCAATGAAGCAAAATATAGCCTTAAAGACTTTCTTCCAGCAAAATGTCTCCATGCTTGCATTAAAATTATTCAGAATTACATGAAATAGGAAAAACAGAACTAGCCTTGTTAAGTGATCCACCATTCATTAATATTTTAAAAATCATGAAAAAGGGAGATTTATGGTTGCCAAAGATATTTTCTGTGGTCATGAAGGAATGGAGGAAATCTAGTGCCTATTGAATAAGACTAGAGGGGGAAGTCCCCCAGATGCTCCTGTTTGCACATGATATTGTATGATCTGAATCAGGCCCTGGAACATTTCAGAGGAAGAAGAACATGAGTATTTATGAAATACCTACTTTGTACAAGGCACTGTCCAAAGCACTTTACCAGTATTGTCTCATTTGATCCTCACCACAATCCTAGGAGGATAGGTAGAGAGATTCTTGGAGAGATTTGTAACCACTCCAAAGAGTTTAGAAACCTCCAGGAAGCCCCACATAGATGGAGAATGTCTATTGTACAGATTATCACATGCAGTTAGATGGACAAACCGTAGACCTTTCCATTATGAAGAGAGAGAGAAAAAGAAAGAGAAACACAGAGGAGAAAAGATACAGATATAGGTTGTTCATGAGTGAGTTCATGCACTTGTTTATAAGTAACTGAGTGTGTGTGTGTGTGTCTATCTGTCCATTTGTCTGTCTGGATGGATACAAATGTCTACAAGTGGATAAGTTAGGCCTAGAATGAAACAGGAGAAGAAGGTAGGCTAGATTGCCTTTGGGAATTTGTGGAGCTCTTTTAATGATTCCAAGCTTCTCCAGCTGACAAAAGCCCATCTTTTTAATGCTATTATTCTAACAACATTGCTGTATGACTGTGAGTCATGGAACACTCACAGTCTCTGCAGAATCAAAAATGAGTATCTCTCAGAGGGCAGTGGAGAAATTGGAAAGTAAGCAGACTACAACACATTAAAAAAAAGAACTTAAGAAGTGGAGTAGAGAATATCATCAGAAAAGTGTATGGCAAAGAGAAGTGCTAGTCACATGGTAAGAGTAAGAAATAACTGAAGACTCGGAAGGAAGGGAAGGAGGGAGGGAGGGAGGAAGGAAGGGAGGAAATGTTAATTAAGTGCCTACTATCTGCCAGGCATTATGCTACTAAGCATGTTCCAGACATCTTATTTTGATCCTCAACAACAACCCTAAAAAGTAACTGCTATTATTATCCCCATTTTTACAAATGAGGAAATGAGGCACTCAGAAGATAAGTGACTTAACCAGGCTCGCATAGCTAGAAAGTATCTGAGGCTAGATCCAAGCTAAGGTCTTCATGACTCCAGGAAGCGTGTAACTCACAATGGTACAAGATGTATATTCTATCACACATAGGGTCTGTGCTCAATCAGTATTGTTGACTGACCATAGTTTTTCCCCTCATTGTTCAGTCACATCCAACTCTTTGTGACCCCCATGGAAAATAACATGCTAGGCCCTTCTGTCTTCCACTATCTCTCAAAGTCTGCCCCAAGTTCATTTTCATTCTTTCCATGACACTATCTATCCATCTCATCCTCTGCCATACCCTTTCCTTCAGTCTTCTTCAATCTTCAATTTTCTTCAATCTTTCCCAACATCAGAGTATTTTCCAACAAGTCCTGTCTTCTCATTATGTGGCCAATGTGTTGAAGTTTCATCTTCAAAATCTGACCTTCCAGTGAATAGTCGGAATTAATTTCTTTAAATATTGACTGATATGATCTCCTTGATATCTAGGGGACTCTCAAAAGTCTTCTCCAGCACCATAATTCAAAAGCATCAATTCTGTAGTGCTCAGCTTTCCTTATAGTCTAACTTTCATAGCCATATATTGCTTTATGGCATAAAAAGCCATAGCTTTAACTGACCTTTGTCAGTAAGGCGATGTCTCTGCTTTTTTTAGTGTGCTGTCCAGATTTGCCATAGATTTCCTTCTACGGAGCAAGCATCTAATTTCATGGCTGTAGTTGCCATCTGCAATGCCAAGAATAAAAAATTTGACACTGCTTTCATTTCTTCTCCCTCTATTTGCCAGGACGTGATGGGACCGGTTGCCATGATTTCCCTATGCCCTCAGAAAAATTGTAACTAATTTCTGGTGCTTCTTGCCAAATTCTTTATGACTTAAGATATTATTTCTCAAAATTGGTGTGGCATCTATGATGAATCATGCATGAAATACAACAGCCTCTTAAGAACTGAAATTTGAAAAGGCAACAGAGAAGATACATGTTGGGTATAAATAGGCCACAGTGGACTGACAATAAAAAATTGTGTGCAAAAAGTGGCATAACCTAAAAGATAACATCAAAGAAATGGGCCAGTCCTATAGTGAGAGCAAAGGATAAGAGATACACAGCTTTTGTCTTCCATTGACAAGCACTTCATGTTAATTAGCCTAGAAGGTGAAAAGAACCCTGGTCTTCATGTCAGAAGGAGTGGGTTCAAATCCCAGTGCTTCCACTTACCAGTATGACCTTGAGCAAATCATTTAACTTCTCTGAGCTTCAGTTTTCCCAACAGGAAAATGGAGGCTATAATAGTTACCTATCTCACAGGCATGTTGTGTAGAAACACCCAGCAAACCTTAAAGTGCTTTACGGATGATAGGTAGTTAGGATTAGACATGGTGTTTGTATTCAGCATAAATATACATATTTCCTCCACTAAAGCCCTAGTCAGATGCCTCATCACAACATCCAGATAACTATCAGTTCTCAAAGCCCAAGTATACCCACTGGACTCTAACAGGTCCTACAAAATTGGAAGGTCTTGAACAATGGACCAGGAGGTTGATTATCCAT